TCTCTCGGAAAGGTCGATGCTAGTTTATTTTTACTCGGGTCTACCTCGAGATATCGATCTCACTAGACTCATTTGTCGCCACGTTTATGCAGGGGGCGTGCGTGCGTGAGAGCGGCGTGGACGGTGGGCTTTACTAGAGAGAGAGAGAGAGAGAGAGAGAGAGAGAGAGAGAGAGAGAGAGAGAGAGAGAGAGAGAGGCGAGCGACCATCTCCCGAACCTCGGCCAATGGGAATCAATCGACCCGGACCGTAGTGCGGCGGCGGCGGGGCGTGGAGCGGGGGACTGGAGCCGCACAGCGCACTAGGGGTGAAGAGCGCGAGCCACACCTCACACCGGCGTCCACGACGAGCAGCGGCCCCTTGTGCACCTCCACCCGCCTGGCCCGCGGCGAGCGCACCCGGTAAACAGGCTCCCCTACCCCCGCGCACACACACAGCCTCGCTCCGGACAAGGGGCCTGCTCCTTTCAGAGCAGACAATTTTGTCATTAAGCTGCAGCGTCGCTGCTTAGCCAGAGTTACACTTATAAATAAAGTGTTCAACTGGCGTACACATGCAAGTGCTCAATACTAGTACTTTTTTAAGTGTTTGACTGGATATTTGATTGCCATAAAGTGTTTGACTGGAAAGTTAAACACTTAAAAGTGTTCAACATCAGGATTGGGTATGAAGCTTTGAGCTCTTTAAAGCTTAAGGTGCCCCCACAATAAACAGGAGCCATGGGCCACGAACCATAAGCCTCAGACCATCTTTCCTAAAACTGTCCAAATTCGGGTAGTTTTTAACGCGAATATCAAAAGTAAATTAGCCAACTGCAAGTGCGAATGGCGTAAGGCTAAAAGAGAAAGGTCTCAGGTCCCGCGGGGGCGAGCCGTGGTGGGTGATGATGGCCCATGGCCCATGGCTCATGGCTCACGGCCCCCGTTCATTGTGGGGGCACCTTTAAAGTTTTTAACTTTACACGGAAAATGCTAGAGTCAGATATCTTGCTAGCCTAAGAGCGAGGTATTTGACTCCCATTCAATTAAAGTTATAGTTTTTGGTCCTCACCCAATGCGAGTGAGGTTCCCCACAGTAATTGGGCGAGATCAGGGAAAACTCACTCCTTTAGAGTGAGAATTCGGTGCACATGACTCAAAGTTTTTCAGAGTACTGTTGAACACTTCGATACCCCCTATGTAAAACCGCTCACCACCTCGGCGGCTGCGGACAAACGCTCAGCTCACTCCCCGCCTGCGGACAATCGCTTACCTAGCTTGGCGCTCCGGACAACCGCTTAAGTCGCTTTTTCGAATTTCCGCCTCTTTCGAATGATACCAATATTACGTTTTCGGTGAAAAAGCGACATAAGCGGTTATCCGGAGCGCGAAGCTAGGTAAGCGGTTGTCCGCTGGCGGGGAGTGAGCTGAGCGTTTCTCAGAGCCACCGAGGCGGTGAGCGGTTTTACATAGGGGGTATCGACTTCGAAGTATTCAAATATGCCGTCAAAAACGTAAAAAAGTGGAACATACAGGGTGGTCCACAGACCCCTTCCTTCATTTTGCTTATACTGTACCGCATGCATGCGTACGGGCGGGGGCGGGCTTGCCTACTGTCGCTCACCATAGGCGCCTTACGGCCCCTTGCGAGTATGCAACCCGTCCGCACGCCTGCATCCGGTACAGTATAAGCAAAATAAAGGAAGGGGTCTGTGGACCACCCTGTAGTTTTGAGCATTGAACAATTTGGCTGGATTGACCATAGGTGAAAAACATTAGTGATCTCAGCTATTTTTTTTTCTTACTCTCCTAGAAAACCCACGAGCTTCTTCAGCTACACGAACGAATTAAGTACCAGGTAAGTGGGTTAATATTCTCACATGAGCTCATGTAGGTCGAACCTAACACTACAAAATACCTGAAAAGAATTTTGAAGCATTGTAAGGAAGTTTACAGTGTAAACTATTTTCTTTGCGTTGCAAACTATTTTCTTTGCATTACAAACTATTTTCTTCGTAAGTTGCGAGGAAATGGTTTGCAAGGTTCCGAACTAATTCTTAGCAGCGTTACGAACAATTTCCTTCGCAAGGCGCGAAGAATTAGTTCGCAATGCGAAGGATTTGGTTCGAAATGCAAAGCATTTTACAACGCTTCAAAATTCTTTGCTATGCAAAGAATAGTTCTTCGCAACCTTTCACAGTGAAAGCCATACAGGGTGGTCCGACGACCCCTTCCTTTATTTTGGTTATACTGTGCCGCATGCAGTCGTGCGGGCGGGTTGCATACTCACACGGAGCCATAAGACGCCGTAGTGAGCGACGGTAGGCAAGCCCGGACGCACGCCTGCATGCGGTACAGTGTAATCAAAATAAAGGAAGGGGTCTATGATGGACCACCCTGCATGAGAAAATATGGAAACGTTTTAGAAATATGAGCCATTTTCGAATCATATGTGATATTATTTTCCACGCAGCTCTTGAATACCACGCCACCATTATGGATCATCCAGAGATTATGTCCCTTTTCCTCCATTTAGGAACCTGCCTAGTTGCTCTCATGGCGCCTGACAGGTAGGCAACATCTTGCCTGGATTGCGTACGAGCACTGTGGGGTGGCCAAGCTCCCACTTTGTCCAATGAATCCGATAAAAACGGGCGTACTATCTGGATGACCCCTAATCTGACCACATACGGACTGCATGCCAGAGGGTCCCCTGCGGAGGGAAAGAGGGGGGCGACACCGTCACACCAAGAAGAGTAAGATTGTCTTGCACTTACTTAAAGCGACGGAGCTCACGGGAATGTTCACCATCTCGGCGAAGCTCAAACAGGACACAAGCGGACAGGACGTAATACAGCTACAAGCCACGGAGTAAAAACGAGAATTAACGGGAACTGCAATTTACTGTCGTGGCACTTCCAAGGGGCGGTCAGGCACTAGGCACTAGCCACGTGGCGTGGCGTGGTGTGGAAGAAGGGGCGGGGGTAGTGCAGGGCGGTGGGCGGGCCCCGGAGCTGTGGATGGCCGCAAGCTCTCCCGCCTATTTCTCCTGGGATTGAAATACGCTCGCCTAAGAGAGAAGTGATGGTCACGGTGCACGCATACGAACAGATGGCTTTCTCGCCTCACCTTGCCCTGTCCCAGCACACCCGCAGCAAAATGCCGATGCAGCTAAGGGATCGTACTATGTTCGCTTTTTATTTCAGATTCATTTCATCAAGTTCCTAAGGCCTGGCGCCTGCAAGGCTCAAGGTAGGCCAGCCCGCAGTACCCGCACGCACTGCAGGCAAGATGTTGCCTACCTACCAGGCGCTATGACAGCTTGCAGAGGCTGAACCTTGCGGTTTCGATACGGCGAATAACGGACTTACTTTCTGTGTGATCTTTCAAATCCCGAATGTTCAAAGCAAGTCGTACAACCAGATAGGAAACGAAGCGGCGGGGGTTGCCAGTGAGCACAGTGCGAGCAGGAGTGGCCAAGAGAGAAAGAGACGGCTGACCAGGCCCTCCTGCTGCCGACCAGTCTGCTGCCAGTCTGTGTTTTGCGCCTGTCATCGCACTCACTGTCTGAAGACATGCAAAGCCCCACGCCTGTTGGCCGGGTGGGTCGCCCGGTGCGCGGGTACCGTGCGGCGGGTGCGCGGGTACCCGGCCCGCGGGGTGCCGCTGGTGCCCATGGTGCGAGCGTTGGTGGTGGC